AAATTATTCGGTGAAACAGAATTACATAAAGGAAGTGAAAACTGTTTAACAATGTGAAAAACAATTTTGTGAGCAGGATGACCCAAACGACGATGCCAAGTGTTAGTGGAGGTACACTCTCCCACATTGGCAGTAATTGATGACTGTGTTTTGGCGGAAGAGGGTAGATACCATTTTCACAATCACCACATATCAGTATCGCCCCTGTAGTCCGATCCTTCACAAAAAATAATCAGGATGAAATTCAATCAGTATATTGTTGGACTTGGTAAAATGATAAACAGATATAGATTTTTATGCATTTCAGGAACACATAAAGTATTGGTAACATGAAATGAACGTGAGGGATAAGAAAGGCCAAGAAAGCCAACATGAGTAACTGATAGACCTCTACTATCACCAATTACTACTTCATTAGTGCCACCATATTCTGAGTGGATGGAGAGGTTAAACAAATCAGATGTGATGTTGTAAGAAGCACCAGAGTCAACTAGCCATTTCTGGTCCTTAGCAAGTGATTTACCAACATAGTTGGCCGCACCAGAGGTCGAGGTAGACAGCTATGGGCAAGATTTAGTAGTGTGGCCAAGAGTATCACAATATTGGCACTTGGGCTTGCGAAAAACATCACGGGATGAGTTGAGTCGATGCTGACTCGATGGAGTGCCTCGAGTGAAGTCATTGCGACGACCACAATAGGTGAAATTGCCACATGTAGCTAGGTTCGTTGTAACAACCAACGTATTGGTAGTAGTTTCAAGACATTTGAGTTATGTCTTATGACCAACAAGCATGTCGTGCAATTCCTCGAATGTCAAGGAAGTGGTGCGAGTGCGGACATGAACAACAATGTCACGATAATCGGGACCTAGCCTATGCAAGACAGAGTGTAATGTCATCATCAGATAGATGAGCATCAATGATAGCCAGCTCATCCACAATGCATTTGATATTGTGGAGATAGTCAGTAATGGGTTTGTCACCACGCGGCAAGAGAGTGAGTACCTCTTTAAGTTGCATGACGCGTGTTTGTAACTTGTTGGCGTACAAGCGAAGAAGCTTGTCCCAAGCGTCACAAAAGGTTTTTGCTGAAGTAATGAGATGCGCAATGTGTTCCGAAACAGATACCAAGATGGTGTTCAAGAGGAGTTGATCCTGTCTAAACCAGCGAGCATAGGCTGCAACATCATTTGCTGAAGTGTTTTTGGTGGGTACGATTGGGCATGGGAGGGTTCCATCAAGATACCCTATAAGACCGTACCCAAAGAGGAGAGAAGAGAAAGTAGTATGCCAGGATGGGTAGCTGGAGGTTTTGAGGTACTGTAATTGACTAGTGTTTATGGAGATTAAAGATTGTTCAAAAGTCTGACCACCAATCGAGTGAAAGACAGCCGTAGAAGTCATGGCAGAAGCAGGTGGATCGTACTCGTTAGAGTCAAAACACTCTGATGCCATATAGAAAAACAAATGCTGTGGTGTAAGAATATATTTTATGTATTAAAATTATTTGACTTCTACATACACATTACAACGAGGGTTCAACAAAAAAAAGCTATACTAGGAAGCCTGTTAATTGTGAATCAATATACAAGGTATAACAGCAAATTTACAGTAGTCGTGTCCCTAATTTGTGCCTTTAGATTGGTTGTATATCCATGACTTTAGAGCTGAGATTAATCATGTCCATGATATGCTCCTGTAGACTAATTTTATGACAATGATTTTAGGGCTAAGATCAAGGATCCTTTACGTAAGGTAGTATCTATCTATAAGAAGACATTATTGGAGAATACTGACGTGAAAGTGGGAAATGGAATTGCGATGTCGATAGTTGATGATCGATTTTGATGCATTTACATAGGGATAGCAACGAGCCGAGTCGAGCAGGCTCGCAAGCCGAAAATCAAGGCTCGGGCTCAGCTCGAGCTTTTTGAAAACAGGCTTTTTTTAGCCCGAGCCGAGCCCAGCAAAAGCTCGGCCAAAAAATCAAGGCTTGGCCCGAGCTTTCGACTTGGGCCTTACCGAGCCAAAACGGGCCGGGCCGAGCCGAGCCGGCATGTTTTTTTCCCTCTTTTTTTTTCTCCTTAAAAGGCAGCAGCTTGCTGTCTTTTAACAAATTTTTTTTTTGCGAGTCGACCCACGAGCCACACGGGTTGGCTCGGGCTCGGCCTGGCACCCCAAGATGGGGCTCGGTCCGAGCCTCGAGTCGAGCCGGCTTGAGCTTTTTGCGGGCCGAGCCACCAGCGGCCCGAGTCCTCGAGCCTTTTTGCCATCCCTACATTTACAAGACAGTTAATGCACTATTAACGAACAATTTCTATCCATGACCTAGAACATGCTCCATCATGTAGATGGCAACCCTTGTACATTGTTGGAAAATTGGTGCTATTTAGACATTGTCTAATTAGGGTTGTTTGAGCCACATTTTTTCAAAAAATGTATTTTACAATAGTGTTATGATGGAAAATATGTGGTAGAAAATTAAGAAATAGCGTGTAATATTATTTTATTAAAAAATGTGATTGAAATTTGGCCAAATCATTGTTCAAAAATACATTTTGATGAAAAAATGGGACTCAAACAAGGGATTAAATGGAAACCATTTCTTCTTTTTTGGAAGATCAAAGTAGGTTTTAGTATCCTTCTCCTCGAGAACCTCTTAATAGAGCTCAAATTTATAAATGACTTGTTAAGAGGTGAAATTAAGACTCAAATATTTTGTATATACAAAAACAGTATAATGTCACTGGTATGCACTCAAGACGCGCACAATATATACAAACTAGAAACTTGGCCAAAAAACATATAGCTGTAGTGTAGACATCAAAGGAACGAGATCTTTGACAATGATTCTAAAATTTTGATGTTATTTTAGGGAGGAAACATAGCCTTCAATGTTTTTTTCAGCTTCTCCAATGAAGCGATTTTCCCCTTCTCCAGAGTGAACTATCTTAAATCTGCTGCCAACATACAATAGTGCAATCGTGGAATTGAGATATCACCAATAAAATAAGCACGGTTGAAATCCATCCTGTTATTGCTTGGCTGCATGCGAGTGATTTGTGGGTGATAAGAATAAATTATACATTTAGGCCGTTGAAAATCAATATTTAGAAGTGTTTTTAGAGAATTATTGTTGAATGTTCTGTATATATTATTTATTTAGGACAAAACCCAAATGGCTTTTGGAGAAAATGAACGAAACGGAAGAAAATGGCTTGAATCATGCACAAATTGGAATATGGTAATCAAAGTGACTTGATTTGAAAGGTGAAAGGCTTAAATTGTAATTAGAGAGGATTGGAGCTTAATGGATTAGTTAAATCGAGAACCAATTTGGACAAATCTAATGTTTGTGCCTTGCAATTGCAAGGCATAAGCCAATCTAATTGCAAGCACAAAGAATTCAAAAGTAGAGAGCAATATGCAATGCCTCGTATTGTATTGTACTCTGCGATCATATAATGCATTCCTACAGCAAGATTCTATTTTCTTTTTTACTTCAACAGATTTTTGGAAATGCTCTTAGCTCATGCTTTGGACCTTAAAAAGGAGGCCAAAATCGTTATTCTTCAACACACAACTTAAAGAAGAGAGACAGTACAACAAACATCAAAGATTGAAGACTTCCCTTGAAATTAATTGAAAACTCAATTGAAGCAATTCAAGGGACGCGAAATTGATTCTTTAACTTCTCTTCGCAATTATGAATTATGAGTGATGAATAATCAATACCTTACTTTTCTTGTTTTTTGTAATTAACACGTTAGGCTAAATTCATTAGTGTGAGATGATAATATAAATCACTAATTTCCATTTTTAATTCATGATGTCTTCTTTTAAGTATGATTTGTGTTGGTTGATTGATATCATATTTGAAATGCTCATCTGAATAATTGATCACTATTTAGATAAATATGACATGTTTTATTTTCAGGAGGTTCAGTTTAACACATCGTAATAATCAACGTAATGTTTAGTACCTGAAAAATTGTTTCAAATACCATTCTCTTCAACTTTAAATACTTTTGAAGTCTAAAGTTTGAACATTATGCAATATCAACAAAATCTTAACTTTTCATTACGGTATTAGTGAAATAGAGGATCAACAATAAGACAAAGAGTGTTAACACCTTTGCTATTGTCTTCTAATAAAGATGTAGTCTTTGTCCTCAAAACATACTAACTTAGCTTGAATCAATGATTTTATCTTGATCAAGCTTATATTTTATTTAACTTAGAATCAGTGACATGTTTTATCAATAATGCAAGAAAATACTCTATAGGTTTAGAGAGGGTCTGGACCTCACCTCCAACTAAAGATGCTAAAGTATAAATTTATTTTAAAGCCTGTTTGGGAATGATTTTGAGAATTGATTTTTTGATCGTTAGGAGAAAAGTGGAGTCCACCTATGAGAGAAAAAGTCAAATATGACGATTGAAATAGTGAAACAACGATCAAAAAATTAATTTTTTGGACAAAAAAATCACTCACAAACAAATTGTTAGTCTAAAGTCATAAAGTACACAAAAAGCAAAAGAAACTATACTGCATTCTCTTTAGTTATACATAATAATATTTCAAGATTGAATCTGTCTCCTAATCACTTTTAAATTCACTACTGAAGCAAGAAAACAATGAAACTCATATTAATCATGGATTGATAACAGATCTATTAGAGATAATACATGACGAAATGCAACTCAAAAAAATAGTTGAATTGTCGGTTATTTAGCTCAAATTCAATAAATGGTCGAATTGAAAACGTTTTCACTATGAATGGAAATAAAATAATAATCATTAGCTTTTTGACCCATTAAAAAGAAAAGGCCCCCCAAAATTACAAATGAAAAAAAAAAAAAATGTGATTTTTCGGTTTAAAACATTTAAAAGTAAAACTTCACAAATTCCCAATAAAATAAAATCATATTTATAAGCAGCTGTTACACCGCCTTAATCACCCTTTCATCTACCATCTATTAATACCCTCGCTGCTTTTAATCCTTACACAAACGCGCTCTCTCTCAACTTCGCTTTGTATTCCTCCATCTTTTCCTCTCTTTGAACTGCAATAAAATGGATTTGGGTATGGTGTCTAAGGATTCTAGCTGGTGGGTTTTCACTCTACCTGCATTCCTTGGCTCTAAAATTATTCTAGATGAGTATATACTTCTTGCAATATCACTGGCTTCCGTATTTCTTGCTGTTTTTACATGGGTTATTTCTCCTGGCGGCTCAGCTTGGAAAAATGGCAGAAATCGACATGGAGCTGTTCAAATCCCCGGGCCGAGAGGTTTACCAGTATTCGGAAGCCTGTTTAACCTCAGCCGTGGCTTGGCTCACCGCTCTTTAGCCGCTATGGCTGGAGCTTGCAAAGCTAAGCAGCTCATGGCGTTCAGCCTCGGTGCCACCCCTGTTGTTGTGGCTTCTGACCCTCTTATAGCAAAAGAGATTTTGAACTCACCTCACTTTGCTGATCGGCCTATTAAACAGTCGGCTAAGAGCCTGATGTTTAGCCGAGCTATTGGGTTTGCTCCTAATGGAACCTACTGGAGGCTCCTCAGACGCATCGCCGCCTCGCACCTCTTCGCTCCCCGCCGCATTGCGGCGCATGAAGCAGGCCGTCAAATGGACTGCTCCACCATGTTGAGGAACATAGAATGTGAACAGACACTCCACGGGAGAGTCTCTTTAAGGAAGCATTTACAAGCTGCAGCCTTAAATAACATAATGGGGAGCGTTTTTGGTAAACGTTATGACCAGGTTGGGGATAGCGAGGAGCTTAAGGAACTGAAAGGCATGATTAGAGAAGGTTTTGAGCTTTTAGGTGCTTTCAATTTTTCAGATTATTTGCCGTGGATTTCTTACTTCTACGACCCGTTTAGGATTGTTTCTCGTTGCGAAGAACTCGTCCCACGGGTTCGAAAACTGGTGAAGGGAATAATTGAAGAACACAAACTGAAAAACGAAAGCGAAAATATTACTGATACTGATGATTTTGTTGATGTTTTGCTCAATTTGGAGGGCGAAGAGAAGCTGAATGAAGATGATATGATTGCTGTTCTGTGGGTATGTTCCAGTTTCATATCTTATGCATGTTGCACC